TAAAAATATAGGAGTTAGGAGGGTTCTAACTGCTAATTGTTTTGTATGACTTACAACAGCAGCTGATCACCAGCCCTATACGCTCTGCTCTTCAAGCTTGCAAGAGTTCAGAGAATAAAACTGTACATTAAGAACCTGGAGCAGAACCTTTGCTTTAGTTATGTGAAAAATTCCTGCACAATGCTTTGAGGCCAAGAATATCAGTTGGAATTATGCTTTCTTGTAATACTTCTACCCCTTCTATCTTTGTCAGCAATGCTGTATTTTCTTTAAACAAAATATCTGATATTGAGTATTATCAGAGTAAATAAGATTCTCTAACATGTCTGCATTTTTCATCCAGGTTGAGTAAGATTATATTTCTGACTAAGCATTTTGCATTTATAAGAGTGTTACACTGAGACAGTCTTAGCCAAACAATGCTTATGAGCAACTTAACATCATTTTAGCTGTCTATATTCTCTGCTCCTCTTTTTACATAAAATCAGGCAGTACTTTAGAGAAAGAGGTATTACCAGACACAGCAGGATTTATTAAAGAGCCACCCCTGATCCTGAAAGCAGGAGACTTTTTTCCCAGCTCAGAGGGAATACATTCTCCTTTCAGTTCAAGGAGATCAGTTCGATTCAAAGCTAAGAAGCTGAGAAGAGATTAAACCAAGCAGGAAAGCCTGCCATCCTCCTTCAGAATTAAGAGAAGGTTTTATTTGCAGGGAGGGAGTTCTGTCAGGGTTAAAATTTAGACAAGGGGAGCCACATTCAGTCTGTCCAGCTCCCTTCTAAGAAGCAGTGTTCCAGGTGCTTGAGCTACTCTTCCACTCTGAAAACTGGAGCTAGAAAAAAGGCACCTCTTTCCATCTTACTTAAAGAAACTTATTTTAGCTTAAAAATGTATGACACTTGCTTTGGTGTGTTTATTTCAAGTTTTTACTCAGAGAGATGTGACAAAAGTCAAAGCAAAGAAATTACTAATTTCAAGTCACTAGAAATGTATGCTGAACCAGATCTGTCTAAGTCTCAAACAAATATGTGGCAAAACTTCCAGCTAGGAAAACAGCATCAAATGCTGTGAAAATGTTACATGTAGAAACACGTTTCAGCATTCTAGCTGGGACAAATAAGCTTCAAAAATGACATTTTTTCTGTGTTTGTCTTGCCCTCCAAGCATAAACAGAGTTAAGGCTATGAACTCCAGTAATTTCCTTTAAACTTACTTTCCCTAACAACTGAACTCAAGTTTGTGTTTCCAGGTCACCTACCTTCTGCAAAACTATAAAACTGAGCACAAGAATATACCTTTGGTGTGTGATGCCCCATCTCCAGGGAATATGTATGAATCTTCCAGCTTTGTGATATCATACAGACAGATGCAGAGGCCAACATTGTATACAACCTGCTCAAAGGAAAATACATTTAAAGAGCAATACACCAAGCAACCCACCAGGTTAAATGAAGTAAACCAGCATATTTACACACTGTGCACAGCTTTTCAAAAGCAGGCAACAGAGGGGGGCTGTTTTGGCAGGGTCTTCAGCAGCCCCAGCCAGCCCTAACCACACTGCATTGTAGGGAACCCCAAACTTATCCAGGTGTGGTGGGAGGATGTGTTTTCCCTGGCACTGCAAAGAGCACTGCTACAACAGAAACTCTCTGGGCAACTGTCAGCAGTGGGAAAACCTGACCTGCCAAGACACTGAACAGCTGCCCACAGATACCACTCACCAGCCCCACAGCTTGTCCAAAGGCTAAATGTACCTCTCACTGGAGTTACACGTTCAGAAGCCTCTAGGCTTGCCTTTGTCTTAAGTGTTACTAGTTCTGGGGAGAGACAAGAACCACTCCTAGTTTCTCTGCTACTTCTGAGAAGGCTTCACAGCCTACAAAACTCAAGGCACCTACTAGTCATCAGCAGATGAGGGAAGTTTTGCTTTTCACCACCTGTCTGTATAAATCTGCTGTTCACAACCCTCAGTCACTTCAGGTGGCTCTTTTGAGCGCTGTTTCCCAGCTGCATTTTGAGATCTGCACCTGCCTCAGGCTGAAAGCTAATCACAACCCCAGGGGCTGCCCAGGAAAGCTGTGACCTCCTGGCCAATGACATAACCATTTTTTAGGTCTCGCACCACAGACCAACTTCTTACTGCAACACTGTATCTCAGGTTCTAAGCACGGACCAAATCAGCTGCTAAAAGCTTCACTTCTCTTCCAGTATTGCTGTGCTACATTTATTTACCTTGACTTTTTCTAAAATTCACTGACTGGACGGATTACTTTGCACGTTTTTCAGACTGCGTTTTGAGTTGTCCCTGCACACACAGACCAGCAGCTCCTCTCCAGCGTCTCAGTCCCCAGGGAGAGGCTTCACCTCTGAGCTCTTCTGACACCTCACCCAGACGTCTCGCCGAGAACGAACAAAAGGAACGTCACGCCGCCAGCACCCACCCACACAGCACCCACGCTTTACCTTATTGGCCAGCTTCTTGTTCAGCTCCTCAGCGATCGACTCGTTCAGCCTCCTTTCGAACTGCCAGGGAGGGATCCTCACCGTGTCACTCATCTCCACCAGGACAAACATGGTGGCGCAGGCCGCCCCTGGGGAGAGGCCGGAGACGGG